TATCTATGAAAGTTTATATTTCAAGAAGTGAAGACTTTGACTGCATGTTAATTTTGATTAAGTTATGGAAATTTCATAGTTTATTCTAAAACTAATGTTGATTTAGTGGCAAGTAGAGATTCAAAAACTTTGAAATTATTAATCTCATATCGCCACCTCAACCTTTAAAGAATAAAATGTCTAAAATTTGTAAATAGATCAATGATATGTTGTCTTGTATTGAAAATCAATCTAATCTACCCATATTTATGCTAATAAATACATATTAGAAGATAATTAGCATGTGCTATTGTAATTATTTTTTAAATAGTTTATATAGAGAGTTATATAGTTCATTGTGTGTGGACATGTTTCATCAATATAAGTTTGAATTACACTATTTTTTGTAGAATATAGATGAATGTTTGTAATTGAGTGGAGTGTTTGGATGAGAATATGTTTGAAACATGACAAAGTTAAAGAGAGCTTTATCTTCTAGAACCATGATGAGCTTTCACAAACACATATGAGATAAATTTTAGTGACAATCAGTACAAAGTTTATAGTTTTTTGGCACCAAAAAACATTGTGTGTTAATGAGTAAAAAAAATCCACAAATCCTCACGATGCAATTTTTGGCTCACGCTTTTACTTGACAAGACTAAACTTCCAAGTTGTAATTATTTATTTTGAACAATTTTTTCAATAACCAAACGTTAGATTTTGACTCACAGCTCGATTATATGCGGCATTATTATCGTGAACGCTCGCAATGTACTCAAATGATTCAAGCAAACCTCAAATTGACCAAATCAAACATATGAGATGATACTTTTGTTGCCTCTACCAACGAGCTGATTGCGTATTTGAATACCTCAAATTGTCTCCTGGTTGCTTCTGCCGACAAGCAAATATTGCATTTGAACAAGAGATGCGCCCTAAGATTATGAAGCAAAGGCTCTAATACAAGCTATTGGCTAAATGAAAATTACGATTATCTATTCCATATAGATGTCAATAACTCTACTCCAGAAGATGACAAAGAATATTGAATAGAGTCAAGCGTAGTGTGCGGTTGTTTGTGAATAATCATTTTTGAGTGTGTATGTTCATGGGTTTGTGAAAATAAAACTTCCCAATGCACACCTTCCTACATGATGACTTAGATAAATTTGTAATTCTGCATTGTTGGATGTCTCACAATAAAGTAGAAGATGATCACAATTTTGCAGATGAAGCATATTGTGTCAACGTGGAAAGAAGCGTGATAACAAATAGTACTCTCAATTATGAGACAAACCAATGTTCTATTATCATTTTTCATGAAATACGCACGAATTCAAGGATTTATGAAAGTACATGAGAAATGACACGAAAGAAAACACTAGCATAGTTTATTTCATGGTAACAATCTTTGCAATATTTGAGGCGGCAATACCTAACAATCCGTTTTAAGTACATACTAACTATTTGATAATCTACCGATATAACACTTGTAATCTATCTTCACTGATAGTTCCTGACAATTGTTACTACTAACGTTATGAATTCATACTATCTATTGAAATTGCAATCTAATATGTTTACGCGTTGAATTTTTTAATTATTTGAGAATATTAAATATAAGATTTGTAAGAAAAAAATTTGCTATATTTTTTTACCCTGCAACAATTTCAGATTAGCTTTTAAAATTACAATATATTTTTTTCTTAAAAAATTTGACATTAAATTTGGTGAAAATATGTTATTTTATAATTATTTCAGACTAGTTATATTATTTTATTTCATCAAAATTATTTTTATGAAAAAAATTTATACACAATAAAAAATTGAATTTCATATCAAAATAAGTTCATGTAAAGATTATTTTTATTGTTAATAAAAAATATTTATAATAATAATTAAAAAAGGACATAACTTTGGGAGATAAAAAAGTTAATATCATTAAAAAAACCAACTGTATGATTGCATAAATTCTATCATAGAAAAATTGTTATCAGAGTAAATACAAAAGGATTTGTTTGGTTAAAATTCCACGCATTATATTATATAATAAGGCAAAAGATATTTGTTGCCATCATCATATAATGTATTGCATGATCAATTGATTCTGCTGAATTCTCATCCTCCATCGTCGCGAGAACATCTAGATATAAGGAGCCTCTGCAGTTTCTCGTGTGAAAGATCAAGAACGATGTACACGATTTCTTTGAGTCATTAACAAACAAATACCAGGTGAAATCGCTTGACGTCTCCTGTTTCACAAAGAAATAACAAAAGGAGATTTCGATGATTGTCATTTCAATAAAACAATTTAATGCTTTCTGCATTTAAACCTGGTTTTGAGGTGCTGTATACATCCATATTCCGTCATGGCACCTGCTCCGTGCTATGCAATCTCTTGCTCTCATGATAATATGTTTGCCAAAGCTCCAATTGATTTACAGATTCTCCCTACGAGCTTTGTATGCCGTTGATTATTTGCGGAGCTTCGCGGAGGCAGGGTTCGTATTTTTGCAAAACAACGAATTTACAAACTTCGTGCACTAGAAAGTCTCGTTGTGAGGGACTGTAACACGTAAAGCAGTGGGATGAGGAATGCTGGCGCACATGATGTAAGTTGACCAGATACGATACCATTATGTTCGGAGTGGTCTATGCATGTTCAGTTGACAACAACTGTGCTTCGAGTCAAGACATAAATTGTTGGAAAGTAATTTTAAATCCCACTCCTCCACGTACACACCTTCTCGGACGATGATTCAAGTGCGACAAACTAATCGTTGAGGGGCGGCTTAATACTTTAAAGGCCAGTGAGCATGTGTGACAAAAGCATCACCTCTCAACAAGCTTTACAATGAAATTTTGACACCGATTCGGTTTTCGCTTTGTGCGTACCAACTCCTTGGATCGACACGAACCCTGTGACCTGCTGTAGATGGTCTATTTAGATTAGACTCTAGAGTGAATTCACATGAATATTTGTATGTACCTACTTCAAAGCATTCTTGTCCCAAGAGAGCTCTTTAGTTGAGTCATTTTTGGGAATGTGAACTCTTACCCTCAGAAAGCACTTTTCGTGAGATCTGTTGAGGTTCGGAATGTCCGTTTACACCTTTCTTTTGAAATGTCAGATGCTCGCAGATGAAGGAGCAAGAAAATCTCTCTGTGGCATAAAGGAGTTAAGGATTATGTCTTTTACGGCCTAATTTTCCAATTCTATTCCAAGGTCTAAATTCAGTCCTGATTGCTGACCTCGAAACTACTCTCAGGGTGGTTGGGTTCCATAGTCATTTTGGTTGGAGAGGAAACTGCATGGCTTGCGATCAAGCAACATTATTTTGACGTACAGCTGGGATCGATTTCGGAATACTACAGTAGAATGTGGTATGTCTTTCAAAGAGGCGCGCGCGTTCAATTAGTTTTACAGCAAGGATGGCAAGCTCCGGTAGGTGAATTATTTGACGAAAATCCAGCGGAGGAAACTGTAAACTCCGAAGATCCAGCACATAAAAACGAGAAACCATCACGATAAGAATGAATATCGTGTGGGGCATTCCTGTCAATTGCATAAAGAAGGATCAACATGACAAAGCTTTGTAATGAAGGAAGGAAGCAGGCAGCGAGGCAGCCAGACTGGGGTCGGCCAGTATGTGCATCGAAGCACGAGATGATGCCAAGCCAAACAGCGGAATGCTCCAAAAGTCATAGAATATATTGGAAAAGCATAAAGATGCAGAGAAGAAACCCATTTTGTTAACCAAGTGTTATGGGATTAGTCTGACGGTTTTCTAGTTACAAGTACCAGTTTTTCTGCCAGAAAGTTGAAATAAGCAACTTAAACACTCGAAACATGTTAGTTTACCATTACAGAATCGTGTAAAGCACATTATACCAAAGGGTCCTGACAGCCGAAAACTTCCATCGGTGTTTCTCATCGCCATCATGGTCATGGAAAAATGCAAGTGGAATACGACTGAAAAATTCGTCAAGAATAAACTTTGAACCATTTGCCTTACCCGCAGCACCGTGAAGTAGAGCGAAGCCATTTTCTAAAGATTTCAGACCTGACGAAAAGAGAACTCCACGCCATAGATTATTTTCCTAACGTAGCGTGACATCATGCCCTCGTTCTCACGGCAGTTACAGCTCCTCCTCCTTTCCGTTCCCTATTCTCCACTTTCACAAAATGAAGTCGAGGAGATATACGAGAGAGAGAGAAAGAGAGAAGGGGAGTGCACAATTTAAAGCGAATCGAACGAGATTCCGAACTCTCCAAGAGCGAGGCTCAGCGTTGGACCAAGAAGAGACGGAAAGGAGGATAAATGTTTGTCGTTTGGAGAGGCCGAGGTCTCGACGATCACGTAATCGGAGAAATGTCATACGAAAATCCGGGTCCATAAATGCAACGGGCGGCTTGCGGATAGATTTCGAACCGGGTAGTATGATTCTCCGCAAGCGTAGGTTCTAGACGTCAGGGACAGCGAAACAAATTTGAAAGGGGCCTCCAGATAAGAAATACCCCGTACTCCTCCTCTACGAACGGGACTGTAGAGCGTCGTTCCTGTAGAGCGAGCTGCGGGCCTACAGTGACGGGTTTATCCCGGAGTCGGTGACGCAGCGTTCTTGTACGCGTCGCGTTCTTCCACAGGGAGTTCTTGTAGCGTGGCCAAACCCTATATTTACCATCGTGAGTTGACCGAGAGTGGGGCTTCATGAGCTGGTAATTGGGAACGTGGGTAGAAAATTCGGTCCGAGGTAATTACAGGTCTGTAAATCGGGTGGTGCCGTCGACCTGGAGCATCGCGCGGTGCGAGTGAGGTACGAATGTGACAAGACATCCATCGGACGGTTCCAGAACGCCCAACTTTGAATCTCCTCTACTGTCGGCTGCCGAGACTTCTACCGCGGAAACTGGAAGGGAGCCGGCCAGAAAACTTTAGGGGCCTTTAATTGAGCTTTACAGGGGACGAGGGATCCGGATATAAGCAAGACCCGACGAGTTGTAGGACGGAACCGGTGGACAACGAGCGCCTTCAGAGCCCTCAACTGACTTAAGCTCGAATCCTCCTTTTGAGCCATCTCCTCTCCTGAGTTCGGCCTCCTCCTCCACTCCTTATTGCGAGAGCTTCTTAGCACTTCTCGCTCTGCTCACTCTCTCAGATCTGCTCTCCCTCGCTTCGCTCTTCTTCACCATAGCCATCTGCGCGCTCAAAGAAAAGCAAGAAAGCAAAGCGAGCGAGCAGCTCCCCCCGCGTCCGTCCTCGGCCCGCTTCATCTCCCGTCTTCGAGCAGCTTTCAGGTATCGATTGCTCCCCTTTCTGGCTCCGCCGTGCTTCTTTTCTCGCAGACGAAACAGTGTTGAGGAGGTCCTTCCTGCGGTTTTTCGATGAGGCTTTGACGGTCTTCTCGGCAACGATGCAGTCTCCCTTGGGGAGCCGTCGTCGCCCACCCGTCGATCTTTCTGTTGCTGGTCGTTTCCGTCATTGGCCGGTCTTGTGCCCTATCTTGTCGGAATTGGGTTTTATGTTCGGGCGCATGGCTCTGGCGCAGCGATTCATAAGACAAGGATCGTTGTCTCGCACATTGCTTGCTGGCGAGCGTTCCAGGAGGCGAGATATGCAGGCTGATCTCGTGTGAGTCGAGGCATGGCCGATCGCTCTTTGTTCATATGCGTACGGAGTTGTGGTCCCCGATCGCCGTAGTTGCTGTTGGTGTCTGGTCACAGAGGATTCTTTGCTTCGCTTCCTAATGTAGGTGGCCAGGGGTGGATCGTCTTCCTCCTACGCTTCGTTTGGACACATACATCTGGATCTTGAGAGGAACACGTGAATTAGAGTTACATGCGGTATTGCGTCATCTTTGCGAGGTAACGGCCGCGCCGCAGACCTAGCGGTTGCTTCTGCGCGACTCAAGGAATCTTCCCTCTCCTGCTCCATCACTGGAATGAGAGTTGCAGTCTGATCTTTGGGAAATCTTTCATCTTGTTGACCATCGACTCTGTCCTCTCGATGAGGTCTGGGATGATTCTGCATGTGATACTAGCGCAGTCTTCATGATTGTCACATGCATCCAGATGCGACATCTGGCGCGCTTTGTGCTTGGTCATAGCCGCCTTCTTTTATCTTGATTTGCCTACTGAGCCCCATTTCCAGACGTGGACGGCAGATCGGTCATAAGGTCCAAGAGCAGGAAATGCTATGAGGCCGTTTGCGTGGTCTACCTCTGCTGGCCTGCGAAAAGACTGCCTGTCCGACTTCAATATCTTTAAACATTAGGCTCTTCAGTTGTCTCGCTCAGACCATTATTATGAGTTATTGTTACCGTAGTGTGTTGCTATGTCAGCCCGTGTAGTCTCGTCAATTTCTGGAGGGTAATGCGAACTTGTTCATGACGGCACGTATCTCGTCGCCCCGAAGATCACCCTTGTTGAGAAGGATTTCATGCGTCTGCGTCCTCGTTCATGTTGACATGAATGATAGAAGCCGTTCTGAAGACACGAAATGTGGTTGACATATACATTGTGATGCTCATGTCTTTTGTCGAGTCACCAAGATCCGCAACCATCTCATCTTCTTTCATTTTGGTTAGGTAACTTCGCGAAAATGGCCGACTCTGAGGATGTTCAGCCCCTCGTCTGCGACAATGGATCTGGAATGGTCAAGGTAAAATCCTTGGTTTTTAGTGCTGTGAAGGATTTATCATTACGCTCGGTCTGTGGCTTTAACTGACATGTGGTTTGCTATGTTGCCGCATTGCTTGTAAAATCGATATTTTTCGATTCTTGTTGTATGTTGAAATCCTTCTGATTACTTGGTCTACACCTTGCAGGCTGGATTCGCCGGTGACGATGCTCCTCGCGCTGTTTTCCCCAGTATTGTCGGCCGGCCCCGCCACACCGGTGTCATGGTTGGTATGGGACAGAAGGATGCCTACGTCGGAGATGAGGCTCAATCCAAACGTGGTATTTTGACTTTGAAGTACCCAATTGAGCACGGTATCGTGACCAATTGGGACGACATGGAGAAGATCTGGCATCACACCTTCTACAATGAGCTCCGTGTGGCACCCGAAGAACACCCAGTTCTTCTAACCGAAGCTCCTTTGAACCCCAAGGCCAATCGTGAGAAGATGACTCAAATCATGTTCGAAACCTTCAACGTTCCTGCCATGTACGTGGCGATCCAGGCTGTTTTGTCGCTGTACGCCAGTGGTCGTACTACCGGTGAGCCTCTTACATCTTGACCCTTCGATGTTGTGGATTCTTTGCATTGCGGTTCAATTCCGTCTGCTACCTCCAACGTCCCTTTCTGCTTTTCATAGTCTGACTGTGAATGCACTTGTGATTGAAAGGTATCGTTTTGGATTCCGGAGATGGTGTCACCCACACTGTTCCCATTTACGAGGGTTATGCTCTTCCCCACGCCATTCTTAGGCTGGATCTTGCTGGACGTGATCTTACCGACGCATTGATGAAGATCTTGACCGAGCGCGGTTACTCTTTCACCACCACTGCGGAGCGTGAAATTGTGAGAGACATGAAGGAGAAGCTGGCATATGTTGCTATCGACTTCGAACAAGAACTTGACACTGCTCGCACCAGCTCATCCTTGGAAAAGAGCTACGAGCTTCCCGACGGTCAAGTCATCACCATTGGTGCCGAAAGATTTAGATGCCCAGAGGTTCTGTTCCAACCATCACTGATTGGTATGGAAGCATCGGGTATCCATGAGACTACCTACAACTCCATCATGAAGTGTGATGTCGATATCCGTAAGGACTTGTACGGAAACATTGTGTTGTCTGGAGGAACCACTATGTTCCCAGGTATCTCTGACCGTATGACAAGGGAGATCACCGCTCTTGCTCCCAGCAGCATGAAGATTAAGGTTGTCGCACCTCCAGAGAGGAAGTACAGTGTCTGGATCGGAGGATCTATCTTGGCTTCTCTCAGCACCTTCCAGCAGGTGAGTCTTTCTTTTGTTAACGATTGAAACCGAAGAACGAGAAAATGTTTGTCAGTGTGATCTTTCCCATTGTGGCACAGTATTTAACTTTTCCAGCAACGTAAGCTCAGCTGTATCTGACAGTATGAAATTGATACTTTGAAAACTTGCAGATGTGGATCGCCAAGGCTGAGTACGATGAGTCAGGTCCTTCCATCGTCCACAGGAAATGTTTCTAAGCTCACAACGGAGGCGTTTTTTAAATCCACGTCCCCCCCTTTTGGGAGTAACAGTAATCGAACCTGGAAGCTGCGTGCTTCCAGTTTGAGTGGTGGTTTGGATTGTGCTGGCAATGTCGGGTAACTATAGCTCTGCAGGTGGGTGGACCTGAGGTTTGTAAAAATAGCAGACAGCAACGGCTTCAACGCCAGTGACTTCCAGGGATTAATGCCGCCGCATAATACCACAATTGTACAAGGCCTGGATTAGAGGTCTCTAATCTCCGAGGTTTTGATTCTTCAATTTTCTCTTTGTAATGCCTTTGTTATAATGCGGTCATTTGAGCGTTTGCTCAAATTGCATGTCATTCTTAAGCCCTGGTTTTTTCCGGGTCGATGAAAGTGGCTGCTTGAAGATCTAGGAAGACCCTGAGGTTCCGCATGTTTAGTGGCTAAATTTCCAAATTCCAATGAACTAGCTCCTTGTAGTTCTGAAATCTTTAGTAGACGAGAGTTATTGTAGACTTGATACACCTCATAATGGCACGAACCGATCTTATCTATATATTCCATGTTATTATTCGGGCTTGGCCTTGTTTTGCATTAAAGCAACCGTCATGAGGACGAGATTACCTGCGAACTTGTCGTTGTGTGTAAGCGTCTCTACATCTGCCGTGAATTAAGATTATTACACGAATTTGGGTTATGTAGAAGATTATTTTAATTGCTCAGGAGCTGTTTCAGGAGTCGCATGGTGGATGGAGTTTGTTGGGCACATTGTATAAATTGTTGCCGTACGCTCATTAGTGTTTTGTGCGCCCAACGCGTCACTTTGTCAATTCCGTACCCTCCTTGATTTTCAGGAGATGTATGATTGGCACTAGTGTCGACCAATTAATTTGTTTGTCCCGCTCTATGATTTGCGTAACGATGAACTTTGTAGCAGCACGAGCTTCAATGTGAAGGGTTCATGTTGCCACGTTGGTCGATGAATTCAGTGGCTGTATACTGTGACCTCATCTTTACCAGCATAACTCATTCCTTTAAGAGGCACGTCTTCACATGCATTCATTTTTTTTTCCTCGATGTCATGGTATACCTCCACCGCAGTGAAAACTAACGCTGGAATCAGCCAGATAAACTGGGATTGAAGCCGACGGTCAAAACGTGAGATCGAGAGGTGATGGACATAGACGATATCGTATTTCGTGCGCTGAAGTCGTGGCAGACGATGAGATCGTTGGACAATTCTACAGATCTCCGTTACTGCGACTGTGATGTCGACCGGGGAAATTATGTGTTTCGAAGTTCATCTCCTCTTGTGTATTGCACCGACATGTCGTATCACAGCGACCGTAAATTTTGTTGCCTAATTTTCGCAGGACAAAGTCTGGCGAGTATTTAGAGTGTACAGTAGCTATGTAATACTATACTATAGACTGCAGTTAAATAATGGTCATCTTGACGAAGTTGACGAAACTTGTTGAGTAGTTGGCTAAGCAAATCTGCTGACCACTTCTTGCACAACCTGGTGCGTGATGTGTGATACCTCTCGTCTTCGTTCTTACGCGAGATGAATGTGTTTTTCGTCAGCTTCGTATCTTGCAGGAAATTTACGCATCTAAAAGCATTCCTGGGATGAATCACATGAATGATCGACGAAGCTATGAAATGAAGGAAACCGAAAAGTTCCGAAATGAACTGGCCATGAATTTTCATTTCATGGCCTATTCATTGAAACCGAAAAGTTCCTTAGTCGGGCGTGGAATGTGAATTTTGTTCTCTGGCCGGCGTACTCGTTGACACCGGCCGACCAATGAAGATCTTTGTAATATTCGATGAACGCTCGTACCCTACCGTAATCAAGGGTCGTGTTTTGTCGCTGGTGAGATATGTTTCCCACCATTTTTTTCCTCTATATTCCTCGGCCATTGTAGATACATTTGTGTTCCTACAATCCCGCAAGACTATACGTGGTAATTAGACATATAGGTGACAACCATTCAGCAATTCCAATGTGGTTATCTGGATAAGAGCATTAGCCACAAACGGAGAACGCGAGTACTATGTCCTTGTCCAAACGGCCAAGGGAGACAGAGTGGCAAGAGGGAGTATGAAGTCAGAGGCCTGCGACGCAGCTCGAGTGAAGTGTATACTGCAGGCATCATTGCAGTGCAGGAATTCTCAGAAAGCCTGAAGAACTTGATCCAGCGGGAAATTCAAAGCCCTCGCCGGCGGGGAAAGGGAGTCAGAGCCCATCACGGGTCAATGTGAACGAGACGCGGGGCGAATGACGTACACGCACACGGCGGTCCAGCAGAGGGCCGGCCGGAATCCGGAGGTTCGGAGAGCTACGACCGAGCCGAGCCGAGCACGGGAAGATTTGAATTTGTGCTCTGCGCAAACGGACGGACACTCGTGCACGAAATGGAAATCCTGGCCCGTGAACTGTCGATATCTACTCAGTAGGGCCGAACACCCACAGAAGGACCGATATCCATCTACTGCGGTCCATGCTCGACCTCGTCTGTCTTCCGCCTACCCCCGCCCCCTCTGTAACTGCAACTGCCACTGCCACTGGCCCTCAATCTCACGACGTACGTCCTTCATCTGCATCTGCCACCGCCTGCAAAGAACGTGGTAGCCATTTCGTGGTGGCAACTCGGTCACAGTCGTCACTGCATGCAAAGATCGTTGGCCGTGATTCTGCTGCCGACAGATTCCCTTGTATGGCGCCATTGGCAAGTGATGCACGACCGCAAGAACGGGCGCGCGTCTAGCGCTGCAGTCTTGGCCGCTAGCTGAGCGGGCGATGGCGCTGGTCTCGGCAGCAAGGACAGTGCAGCGGTGGTCGTCCTCGTGAATGCCTCGACCCTTTGCGTCCGGGCAGACGATCTGCGATCCCGTTGCCGCGTCGTACGTCGTGGTGCGCGATCTCGAGGTGAATCTCGTCGCCTTGCGCTCGATCCCTGCACTTATCTTGCTCGCTCACCCCCACGATGTCCCGTCGGCCAAGATTTGTCCGTGGCTGAACAGATGCTCGCATGAGCTTCCGCGCGCGAATGTTCCAGAGTGGGCGTGGGGCGGTATGCCGTGAACGCGCTCGTTCCATGTGGCGTCTCCGGGGATCGTCCTTCGAGTGGCTGCCCATGGATTTGCTCAGCTCGGCTCTCATGCTCTTATCGACGGTCGGTTGCCCGGCAGCCTGTCCGAGGGGATAATCTTGAGTACGTCTGAAAATATTCTCCAGGTCAGAAATCTTGAATCTCCTTTACGAGAGATTGTGTTTTCTTCCGCAGGTTTGACGAAGGATATCGTCATGCCCCTGTTTTACGTCGGGGTTGAAAGAGCTTTGAAGGGGAAGGCGCCATGCTTCCCCGATCATGGGAGTGTTTTCGATCCGCGCTGTGCGGTCCCGAGTAACCTGCACCTGCTTAGGATGCCGAAGGAGAGAATACCCTTCGACTGGTACGAAGATCATATTCATGATTACAGTCAGCCTATGGTTCATGTTCAGATTGAATCGTTTCACCAGTACAAACACCGTGGCAGACCTTACTTTATCAGAATCCAAAGGTGCAAAGCAGACCCCGAGAATGGAATAGTTTACTGGGTGGACTATCGCGGTCATCGACTCCCGATGCGACAGAACACCTACATGAGCAATGACACCACTCGTATGAGAGTTGAACATGGAAACAATTGTTATCGAATCACGCCCTACTCCTCTTACACCATGTGGATCAATGGAACCATTCCAGCACTTAGAATCATCAGATCACCTTTCTTAGACTTCTCCATGATAGAGCTGGCACCTCAAGTAGAGGGTCGTCTCATGTACAAAGCTTTCACTAAAAGATCAGTCGGAGGAGGTAGAGCATCCATAGCTCATTGACACTGATGCCCAATGTACATCTAGTGTAGATACTTGTTTGGTTTTCAAGGTTCGGAAGCCTTCTGGTATGCTGTAACAAGAGTACCAGGAGGCCACGTCAGCACTGCGCCTGTCATTATTGTTCCTCTGAACGAGCATTGATGTCACCATATAACACATATTCCTTTTTAAAACCAACTTTGCTGTTAAAAACTCCAGTACGGTCTATTTTGTGCCTCAAAATATAGATGGAAGGGGTTCGTCGTAAATGTGGTGGAATGACGAAGCGGGTCACATACGTTTCTTCTCAAAGTCGAGCCCACCGGCTTCAGCTATCTAACCGTCAATCGGCTTGTGGGCATCTTATCTATATCTTATATAAACTAGATAATGGAATAACTGCACGTATGAATCAGGTTTCTTTAAGGTTGCAGAAGAGGCGTCACTATGTAGTTCAGGGTTTTTCACTATCTTCATGTTTGACTTGGCTACCCATCATTTTGTGTGATCAACACGGCAACTGCGTGATTGCGAAGGAGATGTGCATGGTCCGGTATGAGTGAAACACACCTTCGGTTTTGGTATGCACATCATGATATATCGGTTTGTCAAGAAACCACCTTAGTAGTAATCTGAAAGTGTTGTGGGGTCGATCCGATGGGATGTTTCCATTCACTTGGACTATAGCACTTCCGATAACCAATCGATATCTGGAATGTGGTACGCTAGGAATTGGTTAAAGCTTAGTGCTCCTTTCTGCATGAAAACGTTGAAACGACAAAAATACGGTCACTGTGTCAGTCAATATCACATTGTTGCAACATCCGGTAAGGTACAGAGCCTCCGTGCTCGGCTCAGTTTCTCCCATGGTTCTGAATGCAGGTCTGAATTAAACTTATCATCATAAGTTTTCCAGGCTGCACATGTTCTTCACTATCTGTCCTCGTCTGTCTGCTTAATAAGAAGGCAATTACTCATCGTCGAATTTAAGAAATATGGACTTTGCTTATCCTGATAACTAGATCATTACCTGAATCCATCTGTCTGTAATTCAGCACTTTGGAAATGACGTGATCCTCTCCAGACTCCTTCCTTCCAAGTTTCGAGATTCATGAGGTCCTTGAGTGAGGGTGGATAGGTTCAAAGGGATGATTCTCTGCTGGCTCGGATTCTCACCAAGTTTATACTTCAACATGCTCGTCATGGACTCCTCTGTTATCTCTTCTCGGAGTCCTGCGTCAGGCGCACTGAACGACTACATATAAATCTAGCTTTGAGTTTCTCGTCCAGTACTCTCCCTGTCTGTGGTTTGCTATTAGTGATTGAAAAGTAGTGGGTTTTGATTGTAGTTAATTTCCGGGGAAAGTCGTGAATAGACGATGATGCAAAATGGACAATCCTCATCATTGTTCCCTCTGTTCATGGCTGCAAAACGTTCGTTGTCACTCTTGATTTCCAGTTCTGTGGCAAAAATTTCCTAAGCGGCACAAGTGGTCATTAGAACCCTATATAATCTTACTCATCCCAACTACTCTGCATCTGATGCTTTCTCGTACTCAGCTTCTTCTGACCAGACAGACCTTGTGGAATAGGAAGACAGATGTAGAGACTTCACAAAGTTCATAGTTTCTCACGCCAACAACGCCCCCACTCGCCCACTCCCCGTGCTGTTGTAAGGGCACAACGAACAATGCATGCGGCTCCTGAGATTTGAAAACTTGTCACTCATAGCAGATCATTCATCCTCCGTGTCCAGTTCCTAATGTTGGGAGTATACTAAAGAGCGTGCAGGAAGTCCTTGGATGCTCAAAGTAGCAACTGAATACAGTAGGTTTACGAGCGAAGTCTGTAGATCATCGAGTTGACCGGTTCGACAACCGGAGGATGAGTGAAGTCTTCATGCAGTGGAATATTTCGCCCTTCCAAGAAAATTTATAGTAGGATTGACCAAGTTTTAGTAGTGGAATGTTTGCATTATAGTTGAATTACGTGAGAGATAATCGTGAAAGCTTGGAGTAGAGCTAGTATTCCCAACTGCAGTTCTTGGTCGAGATATCCGCAATCCATTAAAGAGTGGCACATCGATTCCAATTGCCATTCGGATTGATCTTCAGGTCACTGCAACTCGTTTGTGCTGCTGTAAATGTCGAGAATGTTCAAAGCAAAATTGCCGATCCAGTTGGTCGTTTCTTGTGACACACATAACCACGCAAAGCATGCAGATTCCACAACGCTCAAGGAGGTCTAGTGTAGAAAGCATGTTATAGAGTTGACTTTAGATATTCAAAGGGTTATGGAGTCTATGGATGTCTAAGGCTGATATGGTTCTGTATTCTGTCCTCTCGATCTCTCCTAAAAAGCAGCAACAGAGGACTTGAAAGAAATATTATCTAAAACGCTTTTGATGTGTGAAATTGCTGCCTGCTTCAGATTCCGGATAATACTCAAGCAGTGATGCACTGTCAGAGCGCGCCTTCTCCATGTACGCACGTATTAGCATCTGCCGGTTGTAAGATCAGCACCCACCGCCAGTGCACGGTCGAAGAGGCGTGCCCGTTCACCGACACCGGTTGGCTGGTGCAAGGACGCCATAACTTTACACCACGCCATCGCGTTCGAGGGACCACAACATCTCAAGGGAGATGTGTTGCTGTCTGGGGTATTATCAGTGATCACTTCTTTGCAAATGATGAAAGTCCTCCAGCAGCATTCTGTGTTTGCTCTGCATAGTGCAGAGTTGCCGAAGTGTTGGAGGCAGGGTCAAGACTGTTAAAACTTGTCAATCAAAACCGTCCCTCCTGAAATCACTAGCAGGTTGATTTGTTCGAGATGGGCTCCAGAAGCTAACATCCTTCAAGACTCGACAGTTGTATCTACCGGTGGAAATCTGGAACTTTACAAGTGACTTCAGTCGACCGGTAAGAGCTTTCGCTGGCTCTTCAAACCAACATGATTTCAATGAAGTGTTGCCCGTGGTCTAAGTTTATACTTGCGCCGAACTGTTTGCAACGTGTATCCTGTCCTGCTTTCTCCTTGCTTTCGGCAGCCTCGTGTCGAGAGGGGACCATGGAGTTGGGCAGTGTGATAAAGCATAACAAGTACGTAGATAATTTTTTTCCTTCCTGCACCAACCGGGAAGATTGGGAAATGACTCGTCCAATTACTTTGTCGTAGGGACGGGCTAAGAAGATATCGACCCTCGTACCGTACAACCCTTAGACAGCTCAATTGAAATCTAAACTTGCACCATGCCTTTGGATTTAAACTTTCCACCTGATCCAAAAGAAGGAGAATTCTTATTCGACTGGAATCGGGACCATTATCATGAATACCGGTATCACGGATGTCCCTGGTTCATTCGGATTCAAAGGTGGAGAGATAACCCGGCCACGGCGTTTATAAGCTTTCGAGATTGTGTCACGAATGTTGAAATCCCGATGCCAGCTAACGTACGCATTAGAGATGAAGGTCTTTGGAGAGACGTTCCTCGATTTGAGCCGTATGATTACTACCGAATTGGACCTTTCACAACCTACACGATGCTCATACACAACTGCATTCCAGCACTTGTCATCACCAAGTTAAATCCGCCTTATTTCTCCAAAATAAGGCCTGGAGCTGGAGTCACAGGTACGGTTGTCGAAGTACTACCAGAAGAATTTAAGTTTGAAGTACCTACCAAGAAGAAGAAGAAATGATCACTCCTTTGGGCAGTCACGAGAGGTCTCTGAAAGGGAGACTCGATCTGGTAGATCTGACTATTGGTGGTGATCGCCTTCCGCTTTGCAAAGGTATTGGACCTTCCCACAATTCGGTAATTCTTTAATAGCTGGTATGAATTGCTGTCACCATCAGAGAAAGAACCATTGCTCATCCTTTTTAAAGCTAGAAATGACCCTCCGTATGTACACTGCTCTTTGTGTACACTGCCAGCCCAATGCCGGGAACATACTGATTTTCCACCGTCATGCTGATGTAGGCAGCGAGTGGTGAAGTGTCAACTGGCGAAAGTATACTCCTTCGAGCATGGAGGAATTCAAATGGTTCGTACAACGGTACGGTCACCAGTGTCCTAGATCAGTAACTATATTTGCAGCTGCAGATCCCAATAGCTTCTAGAGTTTCTTCTTGCCCAATAGTGGTACTCGACAACCGCAGAAACGTTTACTCTGGGTTCCATATCGGAAGAGGAAATGTCCCCGTTTAACTTGACCGTGAATATATTAGTTGGACAGCTAATTTGATAAACATGATCATGATCAGAGGGATCAACTTGTTCCACTCCATGAGGAGTTCATGTCCGTTTGTGTAGCACTATTATCCAGAGAATCTGGCTGACGAGGGGGTAGCCAGCTCTCTTGAAGTCCTCTTGAAGAAGATAGAAAAGGTTTCGAAAGAAGTTTTGCACCGAGGTTTTAAATGTGCACTGGTTGTACGAGTTAGGAATTGTTAATACCACATTTGTATTATCATTTTCAAAACGGTCTAGATCCCTGTTTTCTTCTTCGGGTTTCTAATCCATGTGGTCCATCTCGACCAACCCGATGCATGAAACTTTGGCCCTCTCAAAATTCCAGTCATCAGTCTCACATCTTCTCCTTCTGCCAGTAAATGATGAAACTCAGCTCGAAAAGCTGAGGTTTTCCTTCCATTAGTTTTGACCTGTTCGCACAATGTACTTGATCACTCGGCATATGCTTTGCTGCGCATTTTCCAGACATTAACAAGATAGTTTCTTTACATTTCTTCGATACGCTGAGTACAGAGTTAAACCTCCCGATAGTGTCACCTCTTGTGAGTAACATCCTCCCATTAGTGACATGAAAGTGAAGAACCATTAGTTTCTAATGGGTAATTTTATCCAATAACAACAGCACGTCACTATTGTTAATAGTGTCATTAGATTTTTCAAGAGTGACTATGTCGACCTTTAATAGCTATCATAATTACCAAAAGTCTTTGTTCAAAGTTAAAAGTCTACTTTCGGAGCTTGCTGATTGGTCTATCCCGATTCTTCTCAGTGGTTACAATATTCTCAGACATTGAATCCGTGTCATTGATCAAATGATGTGAGCGAAGACGTCGACGATATTAGACGTCTGTCTCTCATCACTCGTTGCAATTTGGTTGTGCAATGTTTAAACCCTTGTGGAAAGAGTGCTGGAAGGAAATTGAGACAAATCGAGCGGAAAGAAGAACAGTTCGGTTCTACCAGTGGGATATTTTCACGCCTTTTCAAGTTGTTCAGATTGGAGCCAAATCCATGAGGAGGAAAACAAGTCGAAAGATTTCAATTTTCGAATTTTCATGGGTGGCTCCGAGCTGATTCAGATTTTCCAAAATTTCCAATTTCGTCTTCACGTCCAAACAACGCTTGCGTTTAGACATGTGTGAATAAAAACGGGTGTAAATTAAGAGAGAAAAAAAACTCACTCAAAACGACTATCTAATGCATAACAACTGTGACAGATTGTAGCGAGAGAGAAAGAAACGCCCCCAAGGCACTATGACAGATTGGAGGAGAAAGAAAGAAACGCCCACCGAACACAAATAACGCGGGGAAAAGATTAGATATCCTCTTGGGAGTGACACCTCCGAATAGTGACATAAAACCCTAGAACGATTATGTGTCACTATTGTACTAACACAAACATCCTCGAAGCCTCATCTTCGAGTGTGCGAGAGAATTGGCGTCCCAAAAGAGCGGAGCACCTATGAGGAAGAGACTAGAGGCCGAAGTGTCGCGCCGATGTTGTGGGTCAAGCGTCTGGCTGGTAACGATTTTTGTGTGTTGTATGTACTGATCTGATCGACTTTTCGATACGTGCGCTTTGTTGTAGAAGCTCAGGCCGCAAGTCTACATCACTGTATTCGTATCTCTCGTGTAGGTAGATTTCGCCAGGGAATGGATGTCGAGTTCTTACCGAATAAACGTTTGGTGACGGTATCAAACCGGAATGGGTTATTTCTTCCACGTTATCACAACCACTAAACTCGAATTTGAAGAGGTGGGTAGTTGCTGGCATGCAGCAGGAGTCAAGTATTTACTGGACGCAATTCTCTTCGTGTAAAATTGCATTTCCGCTGTTTTCACTTGATTGAGAGGTGTAATGCGAGTTTGTTAATATCAGTTCACCTTTTTGCTCTCTTCTTTGGAGACCTCACTTCCTTCTTCCATCAGGTCTGTGAAGTCCACCACTTGTTGTGATGACACCTACCCGATTTCCAACAAGACGCTATGCCTGTCCCGAAAATTAATCTCCAAGTATGGAAAGCTAACATTAACGTAATAACATGATCGTCGAGAATAGTCAGAATTCGTACACTTTGCCTCTTAGTCTTCAACAAGGGGCGGCTTGGACAGTGAAACTGTTCAATCAGATAATTTCGATCCGGACAAGCCAGTGAGTCAGACGCCAGGTACTGTAGTGCTGCAATACAATCCGTTCAGAACAAAGCGTATGACGTGGAGAGGGAGGAAAGTCTTTTGGAAACACCGATTTGCCGTAGGTCTCAGCAATCTCCTTTTAATGGTTGTGAGTCAAAAGTGCTTCAGATTTGGGAATCCAGAGGCTAGTCTTACAATGTCGGCGTTGCACTTGAATATTACACAGAAGAATGTGCATATGGTATAAGTTTGCAAAATTAATGTACACACACTGCTATGGAGAGTGAATTTGCAGAAGCTTTCCCCCGATCTCCTCTCTTCACGAAGCCCACTGAGTTCTCCCTCGGAATCCTCCTTTAGCAGCATTGATAGAAAAAATCACTTCCAAGAAAGGTATCCTTTGCGAGGTGGTACTCCCCTCTTCTAACTTATAGAGGCAACACAAAATTGCTATGCAGGCAGGAACTTAGCTGCCTAAGCTGCGACGGCCATTGGCCTTTTGCTAGTCTTGATTCCCTTGATAGCTGCAGTATAACAGATGTAGAGGAGTTAGTACCAGAAACTCTTTGACCAAGAACGGGGTGAGGCTGCACCAGAACTGAAAGATTCGTCAAGCAGCAATGTAAAACTTCAAGCAGGATAAAAAAAAGTAAATTTCTCTTGTCACAAAGATCCATACCATCTGCGTAGCTCTTGGCACCGTAGACAGCAGAACCAGCAACCAATGCGTTAGCACCAGCCTCGATGACCTGTAAAAGGAGAGAGCTCGATCAGCTTCACGGCTGGAAGTGACTGTTGGCTGCCAAACGATTCATTCCAAAACACCAATTCCAGAATTACGTATTCCACGCTCTTCTGTCACCGTGTCTAGCCCTAGTGACCGTTCAGCGATCCACAGGTCGCCAGACACTGTAATATATGGTAACGTTTGCTACCTCTTCAAGAGAACGAGAGATGGTGTCGATGATGCCGATCTCACATGAGCAGGTTCAAATTATCTACGTATTGCTGATATGACATAGCTCTCGTCACTTCCGATCATGATTAACACATTCGAGCTTAAGAGAGAAATACAAACCTTCCAAGCGTTGGCGGGGGTGACTCCGCCGTCGACCTCAATCCATGGGTTGATTCCCTGCAGCATAATTAGGTTCTTGTCAGCAACGAACTCTTCCAAATCTTTAATGCAGTGGGCAAAGTAGAGGTGAAACTGAAAGAAGCAATTCACCTTTTCTTGACATATCTTTCTGAGATCCCTGATCTTCTTCACTTGGCTTTCGATGAAGCTTTGTCCACCGAATCCGGGGTTGACAGACATGATTAGAACGAGGTCAACCTCTGTGCACATAACAGAAGCAATATCGGTAATGAGCCTGAGTACTGACTTCCTCGACGAAGGATATATCTCGAGATGGAGGCATCCGCCGTAAACAAACTTCAGTGACGACTAACTCTCGGATTGTATGATTCTTATCATTTGACACAACTGACATACGAGCTGCAGTTCAGTAGGCACTAGCAGGGCAAGAGTAAGTACATCAGTGCAACGCAGAACTGAGTTGAATGGCTTCAATCATATTAGCCACTCAAATTCGACCCAGTACTTTTCTGGAGGTCTGGGAGGAATGTAAAAGCTATTTATTATGCGTTTGACATAAGATTAGAATTGCTCTAATTGTTTAGCATTCCCCGTGCTCAAGATGCACAAACATGACACAGATTTTCAGGGAACTTAGCTGCTACTGCTGCACGCTTTGACATCAAGACGGTGGCAAAAGGAGATTGGTACGGTTCACAAGTGTGGTACCACATGTCGTGCGGATTTTCCTTATAAGGGCGTTTCTTGCGCTTCATATTAGCGAATTAATTTCTGGAAAAAGAAGGAAGAGGTCAATGAAAGCTGACAATTAGGTGCAACCAATACCTTCCAGGACGTATTCGATGGCTGACAGAGGGGTACCAGGGTTCAAAACCACTCCGGCCTTCGCTCCCAAACTCTTGATCTGCGTCACGGATATGGGCAACGAAATTTAGATCATGAAAAGCTGCAAGAAGAGTTGATCAGAAAGTAAACCGTCTGGATCAAGTGCTAACTACATACGCAGACATGCGATGGGATTTCCACTAATAAGAAATTTCCAGAAAGGATTCACTGACTAGTAGGGCAGGAGGATGATGTCTCCGCCCCGGCGTTCTTTCATCTTTGGGAAACTATTAATTGGAGAGTCTCCCAGAAGGGGGAGCGTGTGGATACAAGGGGAACTTACCAGGTTGATCGTCCTGTGCAAGTGAATGGTTGCTGCGACCTCGGCGTGTACACTGACGATGTCAGCACCGGCTTTGATGAAGTCGGCGACTCTCTGCTCTGGTTCCACAATCATCTGCCCAAAATCACAAGGTGTCAGAGCTTCACTGGGACCTACTGTCGGGATTTAAATAAATGACAACTCAAAAGAAAGATGTTGCGCTTGAGGGAACTTTTCTTCCTACATTTACGTGCACAAAGGCCCTCGTGAACACATGAATCCTTACCAGATGAACGTCGAGGGGCAGTTCGGTCGTGGGGCGGATGGCATCGACGACAAGGGGTCCAATTGTGATGTTAGGAACGAACCTACCGTCCATAACATCCACGTGAATCCAATCGCAGCCTGCGTCATCGACAGCTTTGATCTGACATGCCACAACGACGCATGAGCTATGCCAGAAGGGATGCACAGAGACAGGCGTTTCCAAGGCTAATAAATTCTATTGTACTGTGTAGCGTAGGAATTGGAAATGCGCGAGGAGATGGGGAATTCATCATTAGGGTTGTGCACCTGAACAATTTATCTTTGATCAAAATTCAGGCACGAAAGGAATTGAACTGGAAGAGAATCAGACAAAATTCCGACGAAATTCGGTGAAATAAGTGCTGCCACTCCGAGGATGCACAACATGAGTCTTTGAGAATCCATCGGCTGTCGAAACCAACAGGAATGAAGAAAATGTTTCTGGAAATAATCGAACCTGTTCTCCCAGTCTGGCAAAGTTGGCAGACAGAATGGACGGGGACACGATGATGTCGTCCTTGGAGAATTTGTCCACCCTGGAAGTGGCGGTGATCTTGGGAACAGCAGCCCTGCGAAATCCAATCAGCTCAAGTAAGATTCGCATTCGCACTCTAAGCGCCTCCGCCCCTGAGTAGCATACCCGGCCTTCCAAGGAGCTCGAACGTGCACCACTCCTCGCCCGCTCTAAAACCTTCAGCTCCCATTCAAAGACTACACTTCACCTCCCTCCACGGCAATCAAATGTCAACGGACTCAGAGACATGGTCAACCGAACAGCTTCAAAACTACCACTGCCACTACAGACCTGGAGACGAAGGAGCCAGCCTTGGAAGACTGAGTCGACAGGCTGCGCTTGCTGCCCCAGATTGAGCTCGTGCCGGCTGCGCAGCAGGCCTGCGTGGCCAGGGATCCGACTGCCATACTCACCGCGGCCATTTTCTCCGCTCTGATTTCTTCGAAGACAATTGCTCGCCCGCTTGCTCGCTTGCGCTCGATGTCAGCTCGGGAGAGAAGCAGGCAGCGCGACTGCAGCAGCGCCCGGAGCAAAAGCGGCGAGTGTGTTGTGCCGGAGAATCGCGTGTGGAGCGCGCGCTTCGGATGGAGCGAGGAGGATGAGGTGAGCCTCGTTTCCTCTGGTTGTAGAGCAGCCTTCCCAACGAGAGGCCCAGACCATCCCGGGCCCTTTTCACACCTCCGGCCTCGGCCCCGTCCGCCGATCGCCTCATCCCGGCCGTCCACCTCTGACAGTTTCCCGCATCCCCCCTGCGAATATTCCTCTTCTTTTGAAAGCGTATCCCTCAACCAGAGGGATACGAACTACGTGTCCGTGCAAAGTGTGCCTCCCCCCCCCCCACCCACACTAACACTGAAACACTCTCACTAAAACATCTCTTCGTGCCCCTACCTTCATCATCGTCATCATTCTCTTCGCTCTATCTCGCCTCCTCCTCCTCTGGGTGAGCTTTGGCGTCGGCTTCCCTTTCCCGGCGCGGGGCCTGGTGCACAAAAGCCCTCGCTGGATTCTGCGTCGCTCGGTCGAGATATCTTCGCCCGACGGCAAGCGTAATGCGTGGGAATGAGTGGCTTCCAAATTGGTGGAATACAGTCTGCGATGGCATCTAGCCGGCGAAGATGAGACGGAGAAGACCAAAAATCGTGTGCTCGCCGCCACAAGAATTGAGCTTTGGATATGTTCTGGAATTTGGTTACTCGTCGAATGCTCTTTTCGTCCCCATACTCTTCGATTTGGTTTGAAGGGCCATACCACAAAAGGGATTTCCGGTAAGTTGTTCGCAAATTGAAGCGGGCGGGAATAAATGTTTATTAATTATTAGAGTTGACGAAGCTCGTGGAGGTGAATGGAAAACAATATCTCCGTTTCCTTCGAAACTGGATGTCGATGCTGGCCGAGAGGAGTTGCCATGCAGACGCGTGGTAGAAGGTGACGAGATGCCAGGTCGGTTCGAGTTGATGACGTGGCCGCAATCGTCCAGACGGAGTAGAACAGGTACAAACGAGGAGAGGCGGCTTGGCATTGGTGCGCGAGTGGATAAGATGGCACGGCGCTCTGTTTGTGTTGCCAAGGGGCTGCCACCAGGTCCTCGATTGTCGCCGCCGTCGGCACGACGGCCATATCCCCGATATCTGGCATTCTTCCCCACACCATGGTTCCTGCAATTTTCATGTTTATATACATTCATTTTCATTTTTTGAGTTGCCGATTTCGAAACCCGGGAAATTGCCTTTCAAGGGGGGTTTTCCAGCCTGAAAGTGACGAATGTGCGAATTTGAAAGAATACCGTGGACCCTACAAATTTTCGTTTTGATGATTGATACCTAGATGAGACTCTAAATGTTCGTTATGATGATGATAGTGGTTAGAATAATCACTCTCCTAAATTAACCAAATAATTTGAATTTAGTATTTGCAAAAAAAATAATTTTGGTTAATTTAGTCTTCTAGATATTGATTTAGTTTATGAAAAAATTTTGTTTATTTAGTTTTCAATACAAATTTTCTATCAAATATTTATCAATGTTTGAATAATTTTGTGAACAAAAATTATTTTACTTGCATGATTAATTTTGATTCAAAGTTTGATATTTTTTTGTGAAATAAATTTTTATCTCAATGTAAAATTGATAAAAAATTTTATCTACTTAGTTGCAGCGTTTTTCCAAGAAAAAACATTACAACTATTCTACAAAATTCCATCAAATTTGAAAATCAAACATCGAATGAAAACCATAAAGCAAATCGAAGATGCTCTTAATCAATAGTTCACATCTATTAACATGAATTAAAGAGATGTACTCATCTATTATGATATCAATTTGATCATATGTATGACGATGCTTCAATCAAAAAACATATTCTCAAAATTTTAGTATAAAATTTGCTAGAGATAGCTTGATGAGCTCATGTGATAACGCTGGAGAAATAAAACCAAAATCAATCATAACATTGTTATTTTAATCTTGATAAACACAAATTTTATGAACTCGGTGACGTAAACAAGGACAATATCGTGTTGAAAATCATTTAGATACCTTCAAATGACTTTGTTAAGTGAGGTTTGAATCCAAGAAGTCAAACCATGATAAATTTATGAAAACTAGACAAAGAGACCGCATAATGATAGACTATAAGGTGAGTCGAAAGATCAATACTCGCATTTGATTCTCCGTTGAACGGTCCAATCACTCCAAAGTTGACAATGAAAATTGCAACAAGGTTATCCAAAGTATTTTGTTGCTAAAGTACAAGAGTAATTAACCATTGAATAACACAAACGCGACAACTGCTTGAATGGTGAAATGATGCATAGAAAGAATTATAATCCACCAATATTGATGTAGAGCGGAAGTTGGCTACTTTGATTCGACATGAACAAACAACTGTGTTCGATGAATTTTGAACCAAGTGATGATTTATTGTATTGATTGCCAACTATTTACAACATGAGGACATGTAGTTTGCATATTTGCAATCAAATTTATTACAGTGTCAGATGAGTAATAAATCCAATCATCACTTATAAAAATAGTTTTTTATGATATTGTTCATTATTTCCTCCACAATAAGATCTACTTGATGCGCTCCGCACCAAATCCGAATCAAAATACAATCTTTGTGCATCACATATGCAAGGCGAATGACAACAACTGTAAATCGTCTTGTCATATTGCAGTTTCCATTGGTCGTCAAACCAAGAAGACAATTTGTCGAACATGGAGCTCGAAACCGCTTTGTTGTTATCCGGATGGTCTTGTGAGACGGAAGATATGGCCGACTAACTGCTTTGATAACGTGGGTTCCATGCTCGTTTCATGGGGCTTGGCGAGCTACTCTTCCTTTAATTGTTTCTCTGCCTAGAAAGCTTGCCACAAACACCAAAAGCTTCTACTCTTTAACCACCGTTGTTTTCCGAGGTATTTTACATCGTGTCATTTTTAAATTGTGACAGATTCTGTGATATCATGTGTTATGTCGTCGAGTTCTAAATTAGAAATTGTTGCTTCAAAATTTACGTAAAAATTTAACTTTTTTTCAACCCAAGCACGAATCAGAATTAGAATTGCAAATCACTTACATTGAAACAACAAAGAAGATTACGTCACTGCAATGTCTATTTTGCGTTCACTGTGACAAAGAGCGACGGGAGTGAGAAGTGAAGAGACAAAGTACACAAAACGTCATGGTGTGGCATACCTTCCGTCTCGAATTGTACAAAAATCATCATAAAAAACAACATGCAAATGCATGAACCAAGTATCAAGCTTTGTCGAAGTAGAATAAGTAGAAATATTTCTTGAATGTAACATGGAAAGTTGAATCCTATTTCTACGAAGATTTCATAGCGCTTATATTCAAAATCAAAGCTTCAATCATGAAGATTATTTTCCGAAAAATGTTCTTCAATATAGGAGATGATGAGAAGTAAGACGAGGAGTCGATCACTTTGGTAAACGCGATGAAACTTTTCAAGATTCAGGGTGATGGGTCATATCATTCAAAGTTAAGATTATACTTTGATTCAATCTTTGCATTCATCACACATCAGCAGATCTCTCATTTTTCCAGACGGCAGCTGTGATCAAACATCATAAACACACACCAATAACACAAAATTGACAACATTGAATGATCACATAGTTTGTCAATACATCCGAACTATTGTTGGCACAAACCTTCAAATCATTGCCGATATTTTAGCACATCCTGAAGTGTGGACTTTTGCCTTGGCATTTGATGGAAGTGGACATCTAGAGAAAACTTTCCTCTACATACGCTTTCGAGTCTGGGTTAAAGGTAAACTTAATAATTTGCATCTTGTCGTGTTTCCACATTTTGATCGTCACACAACAATTAATATTGTGACTATGATTATAAAAATCTTGAATAGTTTGTACGAACTCTGGCACGATGAGCTTCTTAGTGTTACAATCGATAGTGAGAGAACAAATACTTGATATGTTGGTGGGATTGTGACTCTTCTTGACAAAGAAGCTACTCATCTGATTCTTCGTATATGTTGTACTCTTCATCAAATTGATCTTGTGATCAAATTAGGTACCAATAGTTTACAAGGTGAAGAATATTATAAATTGGCTCATGCTTTCTCTGTACAACTCCGACAACAATCAAATCCTATTACTGAAATGGGCAGCACATGTACTAAGGATACAAATTGTTGGTCACATTTTAGAAACATGATTTGTTGAATGATCGACAGTCGTCGACGTTTGTTTGTCCACATTGAACAGAAGCAACATGTTTATGCTTTGTCGCTCTCTTGGTGGATTATTACGTCGATCATAGTTACTATATTATCATCATGACTTACCACATTGATTATTTTATAGTCAAGAGACATGATTTTGTCGCAGCAGCAAACTAAAATCAAAAAAATTAGTGATCAATTTGTGCAGTATCTTAGAAATTAAGAAAATTTGAACTAATGTTGAGTACATGATGCTGGTGGACGATGAATATTACCAACGTGGACAATGATGTATAATAATAAGTAATGTAATTGTTCATATTCATGATCAAGTATCTTGGATTCGAGATTTATTTCACAACATGATTTCGTATGAAAGAATGAAAATTGTAAAATAGATTGCTCATTATAGTTTTCAGTTAGTTGAAATCATTTCTAATGTTGAAGCAGAAAGATACATTTGAAACCAGGTTTGAATGCATGCGACGCCTGAAGTGATACCTTGTGAATTGGTTAAGATGCGTACATTAGAATTTATTTCAAAGGTTTTTGATCCATATCGCGATCGCAGGAAACAATTATAATGCAAATATTATGTTGATATGATTGAAACATATCACAAGCAACTTCTTCATGCTTATAACTACAAGGTGGGAGTAAAAGATCAAATCTGTAAGCATAATCATGTCACAAACTTCAATGATGTGTGGGATGATTTGAATGTTCAGTTTGAATATTTAGGTAGATTTTGTGAGAATTAGTTGTTTCATTTGCTTACACTAGTTCATTAGAATCTAATTTTTCCATATTGAAATGAGAACGGTATGATCATCGCACTACATTGACCAATCTCTCACTTGAAGATATCTTCCAAAGTAAACAGCATGAGCAATTGAGTTCAATTTGTGTTTGTTTGTAGTATTT